GCGCGTGTGTGTGATTGGATGCACGTATATTATTAGCCTCGTATTGTGCGGCGGTAAAACCATAATTAAGGTATGTTATAATATTATTTAATACATATAACTATTACTACATGCCGTTACTATGGCTTATTAGTAATATTCATTTGACGATGTCTGCAAACAGCATGCATAATGTGCTATTGTCATTATTACTAAGAAAATCATCGCATATATTTTTATTGTATTTTTGTATTAGTTCGGTTGTATATTACCTTTTCGTTTATGCGAATACATAAAATATTATTTTTCCTTGTAAAAAAGAGACATTTTATACGTCTTTTCCGCGCCGGCCAATTCCTATTGTGACGGCTTAATATTTACGCACGCCCCTTTTTTGCAAATTAGCTTATACGCGCAATGAACGTCAAGGCAGTTTCCAAACAATTTTCCCGCAATTTGCCTCATATTTCGCATGCTCACGCATTTATCAATACGCGACAATTAGGACATTCACGTTACCGTTAACGAGTTACGCTACGATGACTGTCACGTTAACGCCCCCATATATATATATATATATATATATATATATATATATATATATATATATATATATAGGCGGTGGGGGCAAATACAGGTCTCACCGCAGTTGTAGTACTGTCTGTCAGCAGGCATTGCGCGGGGGGAGGGAGGGAGGGAGGTTTGTGTGACATCAGGATTCTCTGCATGTACAGGGAATTTCACGCCCAACTTACTCGTCATTGCGCGCTAGCGGGGGTAGAAATATTCGGTGTATACATGCGGGTAATACGTCGTCCCGATATGCGGTCAGCAATATCGGATAACAACCGATAATATCAGCAGAATAATTGATATGATGTATTTCTATAGAGAGGTATTTTTTAATCTATAGTAGTTGAATGACGAAGATGATCAGATGTGGGTCTGTGAACATTCGCAGCGAGGATGTCAATACGCAAAGTCGCAGAATCAAGTAGTAGCCTATACATGACTCGAACTGTTTCGAACACCGTTTGTGTTTACTATGAATGAAAATTTATTGTCAGTATGTAAACTTTTGAGCAAATAAATATTTTCATCACTCTCTCTATTACAATCGTACACTACATAAACTGTATATGATGCGTCTATACACCATGGAAAAATGCACGCAGTTATAAATCTATTCCGTAATGTCCACGCGCGAGTAATAACGTCTAACCGATAAAATTCTAACATATAACGATATTCCACATTATAATACCTGCGCAAGAGTAGAAATTGCTCTCGGACGCAGCGTTTGTGTATATAGGCCCTATGTAAGTTTTCGCCGACACGCGTAGTTGCTCGGACAAAGAGCTACAAAGCTGCCAACGCAGTATCGCAGCGTCAAAATGGCGGCATGTGGTTGTTCGCTAAAGTTAGCAACAGTGCGGCTGTCGCCCGCGTTAGATAGACTGTATGCACTATTGAAGTGATGCGTAGACAGAGAGGCAATTTAAACGGGAGAGCTAGATTAATAAATCCTCTCGCATATGATGCCGACGCTACAGGGGATACTTCCCCGTGACGGTTTAATCGGCTACTTTACCGATAATCACTGATCGCCAATCGGAACTTTATGACCATGGGTTAATGTTTGCGTTTACGGTCGGAAGTACAGTTCGAGTCTCATGTAAAATAAATATTGACAATATTCCATCTGGCTCGCAGTAACATTATTCGTAAATTTTCAAAAGGAAATATGGTTTCTATTTATATCCCTGAATTTTGTGAGACTTTGTGAATTGTGTTTAATTAATCTAAATTAAATAAATAACCAAATAATTAAATAAATAAATAAATGCATAAATAAATATATATATATATATATAAATAAACGCCCACACACAAACACTTACTTGCATGCACGTTTGTGTTCTTGCATTCTTACATATTTGTCGCATACTTGTTTATGTTTATGTTGTGTTGTGTGTTGTGTGTGTGTGTGTGTGTGTGTGTGTGTGTGTGTGTGTGTGTGTGTGTGTGTGTGTGTGTGTGTGTGTGTGTGTGTGTGTAGAAGTGTTGTGGCGCGCG